GGTCCTTGCATTTGCAAGGTAGGCCACCGAACCGCTGAGCTAAATCCCCGGCCCAATAGTATTTTTTGAAATGCAATTTTTTTTTTTGTACCAGGCATCAAACTTCGGTCCTTGCACTTGGCAAGGCAGGCAGCGGCACCACTGAGCTAAATCCCCAGCCCTGCAAATATTTTCTAATGTTAATGATCCTCAATTTATCAACTTTTTTTCCACAGTAATGGGAATTTCCTCAGGACTTTGTACTTGCCAGGTAGGCACAGTGCTGCTGAACTACATCCCTGACCCACTTCGTTTATATATAGTTCAAGGGTCTACCTGGCAAGCACAAGGTCTTGAGTTTGATTCCTGATACTGGAAAAAAACTGATTTATAGTTCAAACTACTAAATTAAAAAGTAGGTCCCTTGAGCCAGGCGTGGTGGTGCATGCCTGTAATCCCAGCACCCGGGAGGCTGAGGCAGGAGGATCGCTATGAGTTTGAGACCAGCCTGGGCTACATAGTGAGTTCCAGGTCAGTCTCAACTAGTGAGACCCTGTCTCAAAAAACCAAAAAAGAAAACAAAAAGTAGGTCCCAAAGATGCAAAAATACTGTAACAAGATTTACACACTGTACAGCTGCATGGCCAGGGAGTTGGTTAGTTCTAAGTATAAATTTCAAAACTACAAAATATAAGGTTTTGCTTTTCATTCTTCATATATTCCATGATTGCAAACCCAGAAGCCCAGCTGCTCATAGGCCCCTGTAGTCAGGCATAGCACCCCTTGTGCAGGGGATGTCTGAGCCCACAGGGTACTCTTGGATCCCAGCTGTGCAGTGTGTGGTGTGCACATAAAAGCAGGCGACTGAGAACAGCAAGTGTCAAATATAAGGTGGTTCTTTTTATTTGGAAAGGAGTTTCTGTGTTTAATAGGACACCAAAAGAATTTTACTTATAAATAAAATATGTTCTAGATGAACCAAAAAAATTACACTTTATAAACACAGAAATACTTTTATTTGGTGTAATATATCAATCATATCTGCAGATAGAAAACCAAAACTGTATATAAAGTAGTATTACTCATCCAGCAACAAGAAGTACTTAATGGTTTTAATGGTTATTTTTCCAAAAGGTCATCACACACAAAAACATTATAAAACCCCCTTCTGTCTCTCTTAGACAGAAGCTTTCTCAATAAATTTTTCCTACCAAAAAAAAAAAAAGCCAGGCGTGGTGGTGCACGCCTGTAATCCCAGCATTTGGGAGGCAGAGGCAGGAAGATCACTATGAGTTCAAGACCAGCCAGGGCTACATAGTGACTTCCAGGTCAGTCTCAACTATATAGTGAGATCCTGTATCAAAAAAACAAAAACAAAAACAAAAAAAGAAAGAAAAAAACTATTTAAAACCCACTAAAACTAACTTATAACGTATTCATTCTTAACCTTGTCAGCAACTAATACTGCAAAACAGGCTTTCTTCTAGCAAGACAGCTATTTTCTTCATGTTAACTGGTTAAGAATGGACATATTAGGAAAGGAGAACCCATTGATAGTTCAACATGAATCCTAAGTACTTGCTAAGACTATCCTAGGAAACACTTCCTAGAAGGCAAGTTTTGCTTCTGATTTAGAATTCTGCATCTCCGAAATATCTATACCTGGCTCCTTGGAGACAAAGCAAACATCCCAGATCTTTGTATCTCTATATGGGGCAGAAAAGTTGGGGCTGGCTACTACCCTTTTTAGTAGGGGCAAATGGGGAAAACAAACATTATTCCAGACTCTCCTGTCACCCAAATGAACAGAACACAATTCTTTTCGCGAGGCAGGCACAGCGCCACTGAGCTACATCCCAGCCCCACCCAATTCTTTTTTTATACAGTACTAGCCAAAGGAAACAAACAATGAGTTTCCAAGAGCAGTCTAGTGTTTACCACTCCGCTTTTACACTTGTGCGTGGATAAATATAAAATAATGTTTGGACAAAAGAGCTTTGCAATTATCTTAAAGATACAGAACATAAAATCTCCTCAGAAATAAATAGCTGAGATGTTTCTAGTCCTGCTTCCATGGATGAATTACAGGTGAACGTGTTTCAGGCCATGGATGGACCGTGGCAGCTGGGAACCACTGATGTCCCAGTCAGACCAGCTCTAGTGTCTTCCACGCGTGGTTGCCAATCAGAATTAATCATTTTTTCCGTGCAAGTACTTTAACATGGAGTCTACGCCCTGGGCCGAGCCCCAGATCTTCTTCAGCACCTCGCACTCCCTCTTGTTGGCCTGCTCCAGCTCCAGCTTCATGTTACACATCATGAGGGCCTTGGACTCCTCCAGCACAACTGGATTACACAAGGCCAGCTCCTTGATGCGAACCATGACTTCCTGGGCGAAGGACCCCGGCCAAAACACCTGGGAAACCAGGCCCTTGTTGCAGGCCTCCTGCGCTGTCAGTTTCCTCGTGCTGAGCAACATCTCACTTGCAGATGCTCCTCCCATAATCTTGGGAAATGTAACGGTAGAGCAGCCATCTGGACTCTGTCCTAAGGTAGCATAGGGTGTTTCAAACCAAGCCTTTTCACTAGCCCAGACCACATCACAAAGAGCCAATATGGATGCTCCTAGTCCAATGGCTGGGCCATTTACTGCTACAATAATAGGCTTCTTAAACTGAATGAAAGCATTCACGAAATTTCTGACCGCCTCGGCCATTTTAGTGCTTTCTCTTTTCCGGTTATCTGTGAGACGCTGTAGGAAATAATTAAAGTCGAGACCGCAGCAGAAGACGCTGCCGATGGCGCTGAGAAGCACCAGCTTGCTGTCATCGGCAGCGGCCGTGTTCAGAGCACTCTGGACTTCTTTCATGACCTCCAGATTTAGTGAGTTATTCTCTGATGATTTTGTGGACAAGAAGATGTGGGTGAAGCCATCTTGCTTCCTGACGACAATATCTCGATATCTGTAGGCACTCTCTGTTTGCCTCAAACTGAAACGCAACCGCTTGTTACAAGATGGGTCTCTTTTGCCAACAAATTTCCTTTTCTGGGTTGTCGCTCCTTTAACAGATGTCTGTACGTTGGTTGTTTCACTGGCTGTGAGCGCATCTGTGACCTCAGAGGTACCTTGCCCTTCAACAGCCAAATCTGCGGCCTGGGCTGCGGTCACCCGGCCCGGCACCTGGGGCACTAGCGGGTGTATTCGGGACCTGCTCCCCATCCTGGCTCGCTGCGCACCAGGGCCCAACAAAGCTCTCACGGGCTTCTCTGCTGCCACTTTTGGTGCCACCGTGTCCTCGGGACCCTGCTTAATGGGGTCCAGCTTCTCAGGGCCTTTGCTCGGAAAGCCGTCCACGGCAGTCCGGCTTTTAATGGGGCTCGCAGACACAGGGGTATTGATACCTGTCTCTGGAAGATCCGTGACCTCTGGGCTGGACGGGGAAGGTGCTGTACTTTTCTTTAACTTCAGGCGGGCCGCAACCGATGCAAGGTTCTTGGACTCGTGGTCCTTGATCACCTGGGCCTTCTGGGAGGTGTCGGAGAAGCTGCTGTTAGTGGACCTGGAAATCTGCTTCCTGGCATTTTTGGAAGAGGTCCCGCTGGTCTGGGTGAGCGCGCTCTCTTTTTGCTTCTCGGCGTGGTTCCCGTTGAAATCGTGGATGCACTCACAGTTCACCAGGTGCTTCTCCGGCTCCACCATGTCCTTCTCGCTGTTGTCTTCAGTCTTCCCATTTTTGTTTTTCCTTTTGTCAACAACCTTTTCAACCTCGTACAGCTCCTCAGAAGCCATGGCGGAGGCTGGAGCACGCGGACTGCTCTTTGTCTCAGTCGATGGGGCGTGGCGGGCACTTCCTGCTCCCGCCTGGCGCAGGCGCGGTTGCACGCGGGTGCCTCTCAGGGGCGTGGCGGGTTGTGCGCAGGAGCAGCTGTACCAGCGCCTGGGACCCCCCCACCCCGTCGGGAGGGGGCTTGACTCGGCGCTAGCTCATCACGCCCCACTACGGGGTGGGCTGGGGGCTGCGCAGCAAGCTGTGGCGGAGTCCGGGCTCTGCACTCCTGCAGAGTGCAGAAATCTTCCTACTTGCCATGGAGAAACGTGCCCTGGTGACTCATTTTTTTTGTTTTGTTTTGTTTTGGTTTTTTTTTTTGAGACACGGTCTCACTATGTAGTTGAGACTGACCTGAACTCATTATGTAGCCTAGGCTGGTCTCGAACTCACAGCGATCCTCCTGCCTCAGCCTCCCGAATGCTGGGATTACAGGCTTGTGCCACCATGCCCAGCTTGTTTTATTTTTAGACAACGTCTCACTTTGTAATGCAGGCTGACCTTTACCTCACTATGTAGCTCAGGCTGGCCTCAAACTCATGGAGATCCTCCTGCCTCAGCCTTCAATGAACTAAAGGTGTAGGCCTGGGCCAGGGATAGGGATAGGTAAGACAGGCCTTGATTTGAACTTTTTTTTCCCTTCTTTCTCCCCCGCCCCATTTTCTGGTGTTTGTTTTTGTTTTCTTTTCTTTTTTCTTGTTTGTTCTTTTTACATGAGTGTGAAGTTTCTAGTTTTGTTGTTGCTCTGTTCTTATTTTTACTTCTTCCTTCTGTTTCTCACCTGTCTTCATTACCAGTTCCCCAAAGTTTGTATGATCTTCCTTTGTCCACCAGCCTTGCTTTTAATCTTTTCCTCTTCTATTGCTCTGTTTCCCACCCAACCCTCCCCTCCTTTGGTACAGGGATCAAACTCAGGACCTTGTGCTTACAAGGCAGGTGGCAGAACCACTGAGCCCCAGCCCTCCCCCAACCTCTTTTAAATCTTCTCCCCTAAGGGTAAAACTGCCACATTAAGGGCTTTTTTATTGCATACAACTTTCTGGTTTGTTTTATAACCACAAATATAGTTCATATGGTTAAAGGTGGTAAATTAATAGCTACCACAGTTTGTCATTTTCTAGGCTGAGTTTGATGCTACTGTTTTGCCAATTGCATATGTTAGCCAAGGTGACATAATTGTGCTAATCACTTGTTCTTCCTTGTACACCAAGGCTGAGATTGCCCAAGGGTTTTTAAAAAATAACTATAGGCCAGTGCCAAAGAACCAAGGGCTGTGCCAAATAGGCAGAAATTTCTCATTCCCAATATATTGAAGATGTAGGATCTTGCAACAGACTCAAAACCAAAAATCCAGCTTCACCTGGAAGACACTCCTGAAAAACAGTCATTTCCATTTTTTTTTTTTTTGTTTGGTATAGGGGATGGAACTCAGGACCTTGCACTTGCAAGGCAGGCAGCAGCACCACTGAGCTAAATTCCCAGCCTGTAGCAGTCATTTCTCAAGAGTCCCGAATACTGGAAATAAAGGTACTTGGCATAAGCAATTTATAAGTATCAATCTAAGAATTAAACTTTTAAAAAAATAGAAAAAGGGCCGGGGATTTGCCTCATTGGTTCTACTGCCTGCCTTGCCAGCACAAGGGCTGGAGTTCAATCCCTGGTGCCCAAAACAAAAAGCAACAACAACAAAAAATGATAAGACACTTAAGCAAGATGCAAACTTCCCAGACTTTCAGCTCACCAAAGACAAACCCAGGAAGTAATGAGGTGAAATAACCCGAAAGCCTCCCACGTGGACTCTGAAATGATAACAGTGGAAGTAACAAAGGAGGTGAATGAGCCTCTAGAAAAAAAAATCAAAGCAGAAATAAGTTTCTCAGGTAACTACATGTCGCGAGCCGGCGACGCAGAGCACTGTCCAGCAGTGTCTCAAACCTGAAAGAGCAGCGGGGTGGAGATGGGGCAGAGAGAAAGGAAGGACGCCAAGACAAGAGTCTGATCAAGGCGGCGTTTAATGCCGGCAAGCACCGGCCTTTTAAAGCAAAAAAAACCACAAACTATTATGGGATGGGTTTACCATAGTAACTGAAAGGTCACACAGGAAAAGAGCAAACAGGCTCAACAAAAACAACCCACCGTGAGTAGTAGTAACCTGGACAACCACACATCTAAAGGTCAGAGACAAGAAACTGTTAACTTTCAGGAATTCCACAAAGGAAACACTCTACCTGCTAAACTGGAGAAGCTTAACACATATGGAGTTACTAGAGTTAACAATACTTACAACCAATACTCATGATCCCCACAATTCCTCCCTTTTTGTTTTAAAACTTTGGTTCCATAGCAAGAAGAAGCTTAAGAGAAAGTATAGGCATGTCCGAGCCTGTCTTAGGTTGGGAAAAGCATTTGGCTGTCTTACCCGTCATTGGGGTCATCTGTCTTACAGGCCTATAACATGATGAAGATTTAACAGAAGCCCCTGTCTTAGGTTGATCAGTCAAACCTTTTCCTCTTACCCGTCTTTGACTTT